CAGAGCAAAATAAGAATCGGACAGAAGACCCCCCCCCCCCCCTCTTTTTTAATTGCTGACTGGAACATTTTACTGAATTAATCTAACATTTATATCCCGGTCCTCCTCCAGCATGATCTGATTATAATTCACAAACTGTTAGATGACTTAAAGCAGCCAGAGGCTCAAACTGTCACTGCACATCGTTTTTAAAAACACACCGACATGTTTCTAAGAGGGGCAAACAGAGGAGTGCATCACTGATTTCTAATGTTGCACAGTCATTTAATAGACATTTGCAAAAGAAACGATGTGAGTTCTGGTATTTCTTGGGATATCTTTTCATGCCTCACATCCTGAGTCTGACTCCTCAGATGGCATGTTTTCTAATGAATGGTATTTGCACATCTTAGAGAGTGTGCAGGAGTTTGTGATGGATCTCCTCCTCTCATAAACACCTTGTTTATGAAATAGAGAGATGCTTTTTGATTCCATTTTTCTATTAAAGGTGACATATCCTCCTCCTCTTCTTTAAGTTCCTCTAGTTTAAATAAGTCTCAGAGCTCCTCAAAACATGTGTGTGAAGTTTCTTGTTCTAAATCCACTCTGATCCTGTATTTGATCATGTCTATAAACCCCTCTATTTCAGCCCTGTTCAGAACAGGCTGTTTCTGTGCCTGTACCTTTAAATATGCAAAGCTTCTTTGCCTGGTTTGAAGCACACAACAGCACACCCCCACAGAAGACCACCCCCCCTCCCCACGACCAGACCCTGTGCCTGACTGCAGCCAGCGTGAAGAGAACCTTCTCCAAGATCAACACCTGCAAAGCTGCAGGTCCAGACAACATTCCTGCCGTGTGCTGAAGGACTGTGCAGAGGAGCTCAAAGATGTCTTCACAGACATTTTCAACGCTTCTCTGAGTCAGGCTGTTGTTCCGTCGTGCTTCAAAACCACCACCATCATACCCGTTCCAAAGAAGCCCTCACCATCCACTTTCAATGACTATCGACCCGTTGCACTGACCCCCATCGCCATGAAGTGCTTTGAAAGGTTAGTCATGGCCCACATCAAATCCACCCTCCCCGCCACCCTGGACCCCTACCAGTTTGCATACCGAGGTAACAGATCCACCGAGGATGTCATCTGTTCTGCTCTTCACTCAGCCCTCACCCACCTGGACACCAAAAACTCATACGTCAGAATGCTGTTCATAGACTTCAGTTCAGCATTCAACACCATCATCCCTCAGCAGCTGATCAGCAAACTGGACCAGCTGGGGCTCAACACTTCCCTGTGCAACTGGCTGCTGGACTTCCTCAGCGAGAGGCCTCAGACAGTGCAGGTCGACGGCAGCACATCAAAAACCACCGTCCTGAGCACTGGGGCCCCCCA